ATTAAGCTTAAACGGGGATACGACGACCACCTCAAATGTCACCAATGGCCGCTGCATGTGTTATTATGTGCGTGTGTGAAGTGATTGTATGTGAGGGAATTGTTGGAAATCGAACGTGTCTGCATTACGTATCGCTCTAACACAGGTTACCCCGTATCGTCCCTCATCGGCGTCTGACGATGGGTGATGAGTGGTAAGTGGTGATGGCTGTGGTGGCGGTGGTGGTGGTGGAGGAGGGAGGGCCTGATGAGGAAAGACACGGGAGGGAAGCCCGGAAAAGGAAAAGAAGCTGCGCCGGACCGCTGGGCTCCAGGCTGAAATAAAGTGCTCGGGACCCCTTTCCACCTCGCGATCTGTATCTCCATCGTATCAATACCCGGTCCCGAGGCGGAAAGAGTCCAGAGACGCTGGAGCTGGAGTTCCGTCCCCCTACCCAGGGGTCGCCATGTCCTGTTTGTGGATAAGGCACATTTCTTGAGGCCCGTAACACGAAGTCAATGGGGATTCTCTCGTCCAGATACGAATTTCATTGCCGCGTATAACGACGGACGGCCACAACGCAATGGACCGGACCGGGACACTGGCGGCCGAATACGCAATCGCGAGTAATCCGCAGCGCAAGGCAAGGGCATGGCATGGCATGGCATGGCATGGCATCCGGTCGCCGCATCGCATCCTCGAAGCCGGACTCGCCGTTGCAGCAGGTATCCTCCCTGTTTGCCACTTGTTACGGGCCTGCCCTATGACAATCCATGGTTCTTCGGCGTCGCGTTCCATCGCCTGGAGAGCATCCACAACCCACCGCAATTCAGTCCACAGCGGGACGGCGTGGCGGGGTTGCGAAAGCGAAAGGCCATTGACAGCACAGAAATGTCCCCATCCCGTCGGCATGGCCCTTCCACTTCCCGTCCTGGTGATCTTCCAGAAGACAGAAAGAACAAAGCCTGCAATTAAGTTACGCTCGAGTGTGAGGTGAGGTGGGCTTGGGGCCAGGCACCCGCAATCGGAAAGACGTGTCCGTGTCTGTGTGTGACATGATGATGTCGCTGCAGAAGCAGGAATTCAGGATCCAAGCCAACCCAAGGCCGCGTGGGATGGAATCAATGTCCTCTTTTCTGTCCTGATCTACCCTACGTCTTCCTTGGCTGGAGCATTTTCTGTTTTTAGTTGTTGCCCCCTCCAACAAACAATTTCGCAGAACCCACTCGACGGGCAGACTGCAAACCGTGATCCATCGCCTGTTCATCCCGTCTGATTTGCGTCAACCGTCCGTGTCGTGTCGTGTCTTGTTGTGGCAGTCGTGCCGTGTCGTTCCCGTCGCAAAGCCCATCCGCAGCGCAGCGCAGCTACAGCCGAGCCGAGCAAGCAAATCGCCGTCGCACACCGAGCACCACCATGCACCATGTCCAGTCCCCTTCGTGGTATTATTCATCGTCTCGACACAGACGACCGAATCATACACCAAAGCTTCCTCAGCACTGATTGCCCTGCATCCCAGTCCACCGCCCGTGCCCGTGCCATCCCCAACCTGCGCGCGGGCGCCGCTGCTCCCCAAAACTGCCCGGTCCCCGGTGTAGGTCCCCTGCTGGAGGCCAGACAAGCCCTACGGCTTCGTGTTCCCTTGCTCTATTCGTCGTACATTCCCTCGAGGGTCTGCCAGTCCGTACATACTGCCTGGGAGATAACAGAAGAGAGACAGAGAGAGAAAGCCTGACAACGCGGCCATGCGCGACCGAAATTACAGCAGCACGTAGTCTCTAAACAAGGCCTCAGCCCAAGCCTCACTCTTTCATATTACATGGTGCGGCTGAAACCAATCTGACGATTGCGCAAAGCTCAGGGCCCGATTGGCACGTTCACAGCCTCTCTATGCCCGCAGCGCAGCCTAACGAAGCAGCCCTACCTGTCCTTCCCTGTCCTGTCCCGTCCTAGGCGTGCCGACTGCCGCCTGACGTTGAGACCCCTACCCCAAGTTCCATTTGTTGGACCCAAGTCACCTACAGAACCTGAGGTACATAGTTGCTGCGGCTCCTCCCCTCCTTGCTCTTGGCCCTTCCTTTGGGTTGGTTGTCCACCGCAAACCAATAGACGCCCCCACCTCTGCAACTTCATATAATCCCAGGAGCCGACGAACTCGACTCGACTGCCAAAGGACTCTTTCCTTTGCTTTCTCTCCCGGCCCTCCATCGCCAGTCCACCCATCATCACAGTCGCAATGGCCTACAACAGACCCTACAACCCCGACGAACTCCCCAGGTGCGTGGCTAGAGCCATCAACGACTCGCAACAGCCCCTCATCGCAATCTATTTTACCCCGCCATGCTAACACCCTACCAGATTCGCGGAGCCCGAGCAGGTACGTTCGACTCGTCGTCCTTTCCACGCAATGTGGCCTTTCCTTTGCGATTCACCATCGCCAGCCCATGGATCGCTCAACCGGAGAAAGACTGACCGTCCCGTTCCAGAAGGGCGGCGCTGCCCCAGCCCCGGCCCCGGCCCCGGCCCAAAGGCCTTCTCCCCAACCGCGCTACGAGAGCAAGCCGCCTCCGCCCGTCCCCCACGATAGCTACCAGCGCCGTCCCGTCGACCACCGTGACCCTCGCGACGACCGCCGTCCTAGCCCGAGCCCCAACATCTACGGCGCCACCTCTCCTCCTCCCACCGGCGGCCCGCGCCCGACTCAGATGCACAATCGCCCTCCTCCCAGCTCAAGACCGCCCCCGTCTCCCGCGCCCGCCGAGATGGCTGACGGTGCCGACCCGACCCTGCTGCCTCTGTTCCGCGCTGTCGATAAGGATGGTACGCGACTCCGTGAGAGACCTCAAGAATTCAAAATCTAACAAGACACAGGTACCGGCCAGCTTTCCGAGCGCGAGCTCTCCACCGCCCTCGTCAACGGTGACTGGACAGCATTCGACCCCCAGACTGTGCGCATGATGATCCGCATGTTCGACTCCGACCGCAGCGGCACCATTGGCTTCGCCGAGTTCTGCGGACTGTGGTCCTTCCTCGCCTCCTGGCGCACTCTCTTCGACCGCTTCGACGCCGACCGCTCGGGCAACATCTCGCTCCAGGAGTTCAGCAACGCCCTCATTGCCTTCCGATACCGCCTGAGCCCCGGCTTTGTCGAGCTTCTCTTCCGCACCTACGATAAGCGCAACGAAAACTCCATGTCTTTCGACCTCTTCGTTCAGGCCTGCATCTCTCTCAAGCGCATGACGGACGTGTTCAAGAAGTACGACGACGACCGCGACGGCTACATCACCCTCAGCTTTGAGGACTTTTTGACGGAGATTCTGAAGCAGCTCAAGTAAGCGGGTGTGGTGTGGTCCTAAGAGGGGAAGATAGGATTCGTTTTCCCCACTAGCTTTCTTTGTTTTTCATTTTCACGTCAGCGTGTTTGGCTGGGACCTAGTTTCGTGCATGCACTGGGAGGCAGGATCTGCATAGCTCACGGGCGGCTGTGTGTTGAGAAGGATTAAGGAGAGGATGGATATGTGGAAGCGTGCATCTCGAAGAAGAGAGATGATTTCTCGTTGCATGAGAAAATTAGATACCCTGGCTGGGTGGGTGCAAGTAATGGACGGAGGGTGGGTTCCATGTGGTGACGACCACCCGTAACGGGCGGTCTCATAGTATTCAAATCGCATTTCAAGGGAGCATCAAACGCTGGCATTCGAGACATTTTATATGAAGCTGGTATGATTGTGAACGGTAGCTTTGTAGTTGGAAACTCACGTTTAGCTAATTCATACTTTGCATACATTGAGACTCGTCTTTTTCGAGGTCATACAAAGGCGCAGACAATCAGATGTATCACCAATTACGGGTCTCAGTAACCGCCCTTCTAAGTCGTATGTCTTAAGACGACATACTACCGTTTGAACCACTTTGTCATGGATACTGGCCCTGTTCACGGGGTTTGTAGGTCCAGACCTGGCAGACTGGCGGCCTCTAGAAACTAAGAGACAAATATAACCAGCAAACAGGGCTGACACAATCTACGTGTTGGGAAATGGGGTACATCACAAGCTGACGGTCCTGCGACAACGCCTACGAAGACTGCTTGTTACTCAACGAGATTATCCAAAGCACCTATGTTTCCGAAAAACCGGATCGGAGAGGAGAGAGACACAGGATCTAACCCGCGTCAACTGATTACAAGGCAGAGACCTCGTGATGACAGCGTTGGGCGTGTCCGCAGTCACTTCTTTCCGAACTTGAGACGAGTTGGCCGTTAAAGCACTTGACAAGTAAGGACTTTAACTTTAATATCTGTCTACTCCGGGAACACCTGCCATCCACTAACAAGCAGTCACTATATGGATAGCTTCTTTATCATGATCGGGTGAAAAGGACATGCTTTTGACGTGGGCAGTGAATTTTCCCTGGGTCCTGCCAGGAACACGACAGAACAAAAGAAGGATCCGGACGAACATTGGCGATTAGGGAGGAGCAGATGCTTTCCCCCCGTCTTAATAGAGCATCTGGCTGATCTACCAACAGACTGTGCCTTCGAATACTGCTTTGCTTCGAGTCTCTGAAGCCGGGATATGTTTTCAAGGATATCACGTGGTTTGACGCTACAATCGTGTGCCCTGATAATTGTGATTGATTATGCTTGTATATTAAGAGCCCATAAGCTACGCGAGGAGAAGGTCAAGCCTTGTACCATCCTCGTTTTCAAGTTGTTAGTCCTTCCTTCTGTGGTATCAAATCAACCCCTTCCCCAAGACACGCCGCCATCCTGGGCAGGCAATGCTATTCCCGTAACGAAAATAAAACAAGAAATTCAATGCTCCCAGTACCCAGTCACCCGTCTCCCGTGTTCCGTGTTCCGCGTCGCATTTTCGTGTGGTTCCAAAGTCTCCGTAGGGGTATATCCTGCCCTCGGTGCCCCTTGAACGTGCTTCAGCTGTACAGGAGGGTATCCAATATTCCGATGAAAAAGACAGCAAGCAAAACAAAATTACCACTGGGTATCATCGCATAGTCCCCGTTCATACACGCGTGACAATCGGCGACAAATTCCGTCCTCGCGCCCGACCTTGCAGTGTCTTCTCCGCCACGGGGAGTTTGCGAGGCGGAAATACTCCAGCGCGCGGCTCAACGTTCCAGACACCCTCCCGGGTCATCGCAACTTCCTCGCCAACCCCGAGAACAAGCACTTCAGTACTCTTACCCCCACCGCCATTACCCTCATTGCCTGACCCCTCCCGGTCGAACCTATTGTCGCGGTGGCTGGTGTTCGAAAAGGGGCTGACGACGTCGGCGATCTCCTTGCGGGCGTACTTTCTCGTCTTCAGCATCCTCGTGACCAAGCCCCTGACGTCTTTGTCGCCGTCGTGCGTGCTAACCCAGGCCTTTGCGCCTAGGGCCGATGCCGTCTCCTGTCCGGCCGGCATGCCCGCGGAGATATTACCGCCGAGCCACCACGGGTTCGAAACAGTGTCGAAGCAGTGCAGGAGAGCAGTGAGAGGCAGAGCCGCCTCGGCGGCCAGGTGGGAGGCGGCGTACTGGTGTAGGCAGCGGTATGAGATGCCGTGGGGAGAGAAGATAACTGATACTGCTCGGTCTCGGGCGTCCGTTGGCGGCGGGGTCGACGTAGCGGAGTTGATGGAGTGGAGGGATTGGGTGCTGCTGGGAGTCTCCGGGGGAGTCGGCAGGCTGATGTATGCCGGCTCAGCTTTGGAGCGGGCTGCCCCGGGAATGGGAGACGGAGAGACTTGTGTGCCTTGTGGCTGAGATACGGGGGTCCTCGGGGGTGTAAGAAGATGTGGGAACCTTGGCCATGTTGGAGGTGGCCGGTACGTGATGCCGATGGCGGCATGAAGGCCCTTGAAATCCCTCCGTTGAGGAATGAACGCGACTGATACCTCGCCGAACTCCCCACCTGGTGTGAATGGCGGCACCTTGACGCGGATGACGGCCTGCTTCCCCGTGGTTTGAGGATCCTCCCACCGTGGAATCGTATGGACCTTGTTCTTGTCGAAGTACCTCCAGCCCCGAATCACCTTGGCCGCGGCCGGTTCCGCCAGGATTAGGGTTCTCGTCCCGCTGGGTGGTAGTTGCCGAAGCGTGGCCTCGTTGCAATGGTCGCTTTTGTGCTGGCTGATAATGACGAGATCGGGTTCCGGGAGATGTTCCAGCGAGCACACGCATGGAGACTCCTTGTGAGTTGTGGTTGAAAGAATAGAGTGAAAGATGGTGGACGGTCCTGTGATCCATGGGTCCATTAATATCCTGAACGGCCGGGGGGAAATGCCCGGTGTCGACTCGGGCACGATAGGTTCGAAGGTGAGAAGAAATGAGGCGTCAGCATTCAGCTGCTTGACTGTCAACGCCATGTTGTATATAGATTAATGAGTGTAAGAAACGACGGCAGGAGATATGCGCAAGGGGTCCGTAGAAGGCTGCAGAGCAACCGTTTGCTCATGAAAAGAGCCACAGGAGCAGAGGAATGCCGACAAGGCACTTAGATATGTGCCATGATGACGGGATGTAATCTGGGCAAGGAGCGCGTCGGGACGCAACTTTTGGGATGTCTTGCCGTGAATGATCGGACGTGGGGAAACATTGCAGGGAAACGCGAGGCGAGTTTAGGAAACTTTTCCTTGGCCACATTAGAAACGGCAACCCTGTAACGCCAATTTACGGTGGAAGTTGGCGAACTGACGACGAGGTCAGAGCATTGTGGTTGGACTTCACCAGATCATCAGCGCCGCGGCAAGTAAACGCGAGGTGCTCAGACTTCCGAGAGTCCGCCGGTTGGAGAATATGACGACGGATCAGTGACATCGACCGGCAAAATATGCACAAGGAGGGTGCCAAGTTCGGTATTGGTCGGAGGCTGAAACCTTGGTGGCTGAGCCTCAACTGCGCAATACGTCCAGTCCTTTTGGGTCTGGAAACATGGAGTGCGTCCCTTGCAGATTCTGAAAAGACAATCTGATGACTCCGGACCAGTCAGGCGGGGCCCGCCCTGGTTGTTTTTGCCTTTTACATCTTATGCTGAGCGGGATTGCCGTGCTCTGAATGCCATAGAAGAAGACGACCTTTCCTTCGTGATCTTGGCGGCGCAGGTCCATCTCGGACGTCTGTGCGGCGTACCTCGAGGGGGTTGATCAACGAGGAGCTGTGACAAGTTTGTTTGGGATCCTGCGGATGCGTCGCCTTGATTGGAGAAGGAGCTTCGGATACCGCTGGCCACATAAGATCCGAGGTCGCCCTCCCATCGACTCGAATTGCCAGAAATCAGGACGGCAGCTGTTCTCCAGTAAGGCCCATGAAGTCAAACTGAAGGCTGACGACACAGCTCTTCGGAGTGATGCTGTCGTTGTGCACCTCATGCAAGATTGACAGCCGGCTGCAGCGGCTCAAGACGGTTCCGGAGTTCCCCCCTGACGCTGGAAGGGATGACCCATTGTAGCATATATCCAGCGAACCATCTGAACTGAAGGCAAAGACTGTCTCTGACAGCGGATGGAAAAGACTGCCCACTCCTTCGAGAAGCCAAATCAGTTAAACCAAGTGGTTTTTGCTGCGTGTCTGCGGCAAAGAAGGTTGGTGATGCTGAGGCTGAGGAAATCTCCGAAAGCAGAGCTTGATCCGCTTTCGTGCAATTGAATCTTAATTCACTAGGTCAAGAGATATAGGATGTTTGCTGACAGCGAGTGATCGACTGTCGTCAACATGACGGAGCACTGGTGCTTCAGTGAGAATAGACTAAGGTAGAGCCACTGGGATTCATTCCAGTCAAGTCGAGGATATCCTGTCATGCCTCAACTTGCTCAGAGGAGACAGGGGGAAAAGGGGCTCAGGAGGCTACGCGTACGTGCAAGCCGTCAGCGCACCGGCGCTGTGAGTTGCGCGGAGATAGAGGGCCGTGATCGCTAATGGCTTGAAGGTGGACGTTCCGACTTGGGATCTCAGCGCTGATAACCCTGGAGCTTCGCCGAGTGAACGGTGAAGGGATGGGGATGGAGATGGAGAGGCTCTGACAACAGTGGCAGTGGCAGTCGGAGTCACCGACGAGACAGAACTGGTTGGCCGCCATGTCTCGGAAGGCAGGGAGCCAGGAGCGAGTTAAAGCGGCCTTCGGGCGTTTGCCGCTTCGATAGGGCCCAGTCGTACGAAAGTACTGGGTGTATTCAGAAAACGACGCGTGCATGTGACAGAGCTTTGGGTACGGAGCGTCCCCCGGCCTCAGCTTATCCTGCGTTGCTCGGTGTGTTTTTTCTCGTGTGCTGTTGGTAATAAAGCAGATGGAGGAACGGCACTGCAGAGAGGCACAGACCTGCGGCCGGTTGCTGAGTGGGCCGCCGCCGAGTGTGCCGATGTCAAGAAAGAATTGGCACAGGCTCAGTTTTTTTCCGGGTTAGAAGCGTAGCGCGGGTGAATGAATCGAAGTGCGAGTATTAGTGCGTTGAAGACTCGTTCAATGAAGGGGGCCAAGCCGTGTTATGAAGCCTCGATTTTCCTTTCATTAGTTTGTTGCTGCAAGGTGTTTCTGACTGTCTCCATCCCCAAACGAAGTGCCGTTCCTCCTTCTGACCGGAGCAGTTTCCTCATTCGCCCTCACTTGCGGGATCAGCGTGCAGTTGAGATGGAGGAAGGGCACCAGGCGTGGGAGTTCTCGAAGTACCGAAAAGCTTTGTGAAGGTACCTCCCCATTGGAGCTAAGGTAAACTCGGTTGCTCGTGGTAAAGATGCGCTAGAACCCTTGGGGGAGCTTTATCGTCGAAGCTGCCCTGGCTTCTGGTTGGTGGCTGGCTTATCAGCACTAGAGCTCATGTCCTGGGAGCTTATCCCCCACACCCTCCCGTTCAGCGGGCAGCTGGAACACATAGCCGTATCGCGATGCGCTCGTGAGGATAGCGCCGGAAGCTCAGGGCGGACGGTGAAAAGGAAACTGACAGACGCCAGGAAATTGGTAGCCGTCACCGCCTCGTCTTGCCTCGCCCCGATCGAGGTGCGGTCACCGTGTCGACATCTTTCCTGCAAAGAGACCTTGGGGTTCCCTGGACCCCTTCGGTATGTGAGAGACCGATGGCGAGGCGCTCGATCCAGGTACTAAGCTTCGTTGCCAGCTGCCAGCTCCGGTAGGGGAGGCGTTGGTGTAACGTTCCGTGGGCCGTCACGAGATGGATCCCCCGATTTGGCCCGAAGCTGAGAGTGGACGAGGGCGTCTGTCTGCATTATACCGGTGTTTATGCATTAATCCATGATCCAAGTCTCCTGGACGAGTCGTCAAGTCGGGTCCGACTGCGCTCAAAGACACACCACACCGTCTCAGGTCTTCCTGTAGACAAATAAGTCGTGAATAAAAACAATAAGGATAAAAACAGAGGTAGCATGTAGTGCATGCCCAGACAGGGTGATGTCAGTTCTTCTTGTACCTGGTGCTCCGAGAGGCGATAGATACCCGCTTTATCTGCGAGTGTTGTCTGCCCTTTGCCAGTCAGCCAGGGGTCCTGGGGCACTGGTGGCGAGGAAGGCGAAAAGCGCAACATGTAATTGGCTGGAAAAGGTCCTCGGAGCAGCTTCTGTATTTTTGTTGCTCGAGGTAACCGACATGCGAGCGGCTCAGGAGTGAGCTGAGACGCTGAGACGCTGAGACGCTGAGACAAGGCTTATTGACTCGAAGTCGATGATAGAGACAAGGTACCGACATCTGAACAAGGCTGCGTGGCTCGGACAGCGGACTGAGCTTACAGGAGCGCACTTTTTGTGTTTTTCTTTCTTTCAACAGTCGCCTCGGTGAATAGCCGTGGTTTCGGATTGTCGTTGACAAGTTAGCCTCTGGGTTAATTTCAAGGAGAAGGAAGAAAGTGGAGCGGGCCAAGGTGTATTTTTTTCTTCGATCTGGTACCCGTCCATGCTCTGGAGTCCGGCGCCTTTGAAGGGTGCAGATAAGTTTTTTTTTCCTTTCCATCTTGTCTCCTTCGGCCGCGTAGGAATACAATCTGCCGACTGCTGATAGGCCGAGGTGAAGGTTGGAGGCGAGGAACTGGAGGGTCCTCGCGCCGAAAGTGGGGACCTTCCCTGACAGAAAAGAGACGTACCTCCCTTACCTTCACCATGCCATCCTGGACCGGTGCACCTCGGGGCGTGGAGGGTGGATCGTGGAGCACGAGGAAAGCACTTTTTACCTTACCTTACCTGACATTGCGACAGGGCAAGGAAGGAGGAGGAAGGTGATGCAGCTGTACTTGATAGGCAGGTACCTACCTCCTCTCCCCGGTCTAGGTCTTTCACGGGGGACAGGGAAAAAAAAAACTAAAAAAAAAAACTGAATGTGGGCATCTTAGCTGGACAGACCGGGGCCAGAAGACGGCAGGCTGACGTGCTGAAGAGCCTTGGACATGGAGCCCTGCATGCCTTCGAGCAAGAGAGACACAGAAAAAAAAAGAAAAAAAAAAGGACGACCAAAAAAAAACCCTTGAAGCAGCTGTCTGTGGTAGCCCACTCAATCCAGGCAAAGCACACCCACACCCTCTCCCCACCCCATCAAGCCCCCGCCCACGCCGCACCGTCTTCCTCCCCGCTGTGGAACAGACGATTCGGCGCCAACGTCGGGGGGGGGGGACCCAATCCCCACTGCAGCAGCATGCCTCTGAGGCGCTGCAGGCGCTGCAGCCAGAGACATACCACACACCGCAGACCGACGTGCAGCAGCGCAGTGCAGCAGCAACAGTAGAGGCAACAGCTCCCAGGTTCACACCTTGTTGAAGAAGCTTCCCTGGGCCCTGCATGTCGTGGTCTTGGTGACTCTCTGTGCCCGATGCCGACCCGACGTTGCCAACCTCCTCCTCGTCCTTCGTCTCGTCCTCAATGCCCAACGCCTTTCGCAGCCATGCTGTTCCTTGCCGGAGCATGTTCATCGCTTTTACGCCGGAGATTTGGTCTGGACCGCTTCATTTGGACTGCGTCAATGCTGTCATCAGGAGGTGCGACTTACGTCTGCCAGCCAAGAATAGCTTGCCCAGGTAACCTAAGCTTGACAAGCAAACCTCTCAAGCAACCACCCGTATCTACAACGGTGCCGCGACACGACCCGACCTGCTTCCACTGCTATGCGCAACTTATTAGTAGGTAATGTACGAATCTGCTACGCATGTACATACCTTACCCGTCAGCTGGGATGTCAACGTGACGAATAGCGGGGATTCAGTAGCAGACCCATCTGGCTGAGGCCAGGGCCATCGCTAACAGGCCTTGTCACATTGACGCGGTTCCAGTTCCGCAGAAGGCGAGCTAGGTAGGTATGCTACGCCGTACGTACTTTTACACTTGCACAGAGCTTGGGAGCAACACAGCAAGTCAACAGCAGCAGCATGGCATGAGAAGCAAAGGCTTTGAGTCTTGAATCAAGCTTCTAGAAAGATACTTGCACATACCGACTCATTCAGATGGATTGAATGTGTTGCAGATTGAACACGGACAGGTCGAGAAGGCTGCAGGACATAGGTAGGTATCCGTCGAAGACCCAAGTCAAGAGCTCCCATGCACCAGCTCACTCTTTGGTGCGGTCTCTCTCTCTCAACCACTCGCAAGCTCCGAAAAGAAGAGCCAAAAAAAAAAAAAAAGGAAAAAAAAAAAAGAAAAAAGGCCACTTTACTACCACACCCCTCCCCTCCTTCCCCCTCCTCCGCCCTCGTGCTTCCCTGTCGTGCTTCCCTGTCGTGCTCCTTCCGATCCTCCTCACTTCAACTGCCTCTCCCCACTCGTCTTGACTTGAATCTTGCTTTTGCAGCCACGCCCCCCTTTCCCATGAGGTACCTGGGCTCTTCATCATCCTCTCCCACTGTCTTCTGCTTCCTTTAACCCTTGAATCAACCAACCCAACCCAACCCACCAGACGTGCTCCGGCCTCGATCGAGTCATTCACGTTGCCAATCGTCTTGGACCAATGACCAGCATTTTGTCTCCTCGGCGGGTCAATTTGCCGACCAGCTTTTTTCTTCTCCTCCTGCTGGCAGCTGCTCCTCCAGCTACCGCACTCTCCTCCAAGAGGTACCGACCGTACGAATAGCACTGCAAGAGTACCAACCTCCAGAGCTTGCAGATTGCTTAATTGCCATTGGCAGAGCTATTGGGGGACTTTACGATGCGGCCCTTGTGTGTTCGTACCCCCGCGAGGTACCTACTCTGTGTAAGGTAAGGTACCTAAGGTACCTAGGCAATTACATGGAAGGTAAGCACCAAGCAACCAGGCAGGGAAGCTCTCATTCTAGGTAGGTAGCTGGTGAAGGTACGCGCGCCGAAGCATCGAAGCACCACTGCGACGATTGATGGCTGCAATGCTTTGCTTTTCCATGCTAGCAGCAGAACCAACTGTTCCCATGGCCCCGTCACTCGGTTGCCGCCATTCTTGGCCAAGTCAGGCACCTCGTCGTGTCATAATTTTCCAAACAAAGAAGGGAGGCGGCACGACTGACTCGATGGAAACAAGTTGCAACCCGTCTCTCGGTCAATCAGTCTCGCCTTTCGCCTGGTTTCCTGGAGGAACCAGTCTGGCCAACCACTCGGCGACTGGCCGGGCATTGTATCGCATCGCGGTGTTGTGCGAGAAAGCGGCAGGCGAAGGAAGGCTCTTTATTGACGATGGCGATGCAATGGATGGTCAAGCTTCAGAGTAGCACGCTGCTTGGCCCGCCACTTACACCGCTGCGTCACCGTTGCTTTCACTTACATGCCTACCTAACCTCAGGGAAGCCTCCCTTCTGGTGCTATCCACTTGTGCTCTTCCACTTGCCAGTGACATTGACGCCGCCTTCCACAGGCCGACTCAAAACCACCCTCCTATTCGTGGTCTGCCTGACTGACCTCACACACCGAACCTTGCGACGACAGAAACTACTGAGTTACCTCATCAGCTTGTCAGCTGTTCAAATCGCTCCCAAAACCAAGCGCGTCCTTGCTTCCCTCCTTGTACCTGTTCCCGGCACCCCTCGTCCCCGTCTGCTTAGTCCCAGCCGATATTGGCCTTTTTCCTTACCCACCCCATCTCCCCGAAGCCAAGTGCAATAACAAGCAGCCGTAGCCGCAGCCCGCAGCCCGCAGCTGCAGGAGCAGCACAGGCAAAGAAGATTAGGAACAGGTGCAGACGAGTACAGCACAGCACAGCACAGCACAGCAACTCAGGTTCATCACTTGGAGGACGGGGTCCAATGGTTGAGCAGCCAAAGAGCTTGTTCTTTGCACAATCCAACCTCGAATACCTCACCTGTATGCCACAGCTGCCCCGGCTGTTGCTCCTCTTCTGTTGATCGGCTCGTCGCCCTGCTGTTTTAAGGTCCAAGGCAACCAACCAAGCGACCGACCGGCAAGGCAAGGGCTTGCTGGATCCAAGCTCCCTCCTTGCTCTCACACCTTGCTTCCCACACTGGACTCCCATATCCGTACCTCTGTGCTGGGTATCCATCCGTACTGCTGGGCTGGGCTACGGAGAAGGGCGCAGAGCAAGGTAAAAGGTAAGGTAATTGGCCCTGGGCCTGGTTACTCTACAGCACCTCAGGTAAGGTACCTGACGGATGCTGCGTGCGCATACCTACCCACCAGACCGAGCCACGCCCCTAGCCTGTCCCGTAAGTCAGCCCACCCCATAACCGAACACCCCCTATAACCGAACGCGTCAAAACACCACTTTTTCCCCTCTTCACTACTATAACTACCTTACGCTAGAACGTATTTACTTACTATAATACTTAAAATTAATTCTTTTAAAAAATACTAGTATACTTAGTATAGCTAAATATACTAAGAAAGATATTTTAAATACTTTATATAATATTTAGAATAGGATAAGTGTTTAGAAAGTTATATATACTTTAAAAGTATTTTTATTAACTTTCTATAGCTATTTCTATAGTTTTAGGACTTAATAGAAAAGTTATACTACTTTTTAGAAATTAATACTTATTTAAGAGAGTTATTTAGTTAACTAAACTCTTATATAAAGTACTTTTAGCTTTATACTTACTTATTAATAACTTAAAAATTTAGTTTAATAAGTATTAACTTATATTAATAATAACTACCCTCTTAATAAGAACTAAATTAATAGTTTATTATATTATAATTTCTTTCTAAAAACCCTCTAAAGTAAAGCTATTAAATCTAAGTATATTACTACTATTATAACTAAGAAAATATAAGCTTATTTTAATTTATATAACTTACTTAAGATTAAGTATATCTTATTTTAGCTTTATTATAATATAAATAAGATTAGTTTAATAGAAAGTAAAGGAGTTAATAACTTTATTTTAGGTTCTTTTTATATAAAGAAGATATATATTAAAACTTTAGACTTATATATATAAATTACTATATTAAAGTATATCTTAGCTTTTAGTAAATAATTTTATCTATTAGTTATATTTAATAATAAGAGCGTCTAATAAAGCTAGTTCTTTATAGAACTTAAGAACTATAATTATTAATATTTTACTATAATTAATAATAAATAAATAACTAATAAAGTAGCTATTAACTAAGTTAAGGAAGTATTTAATCCTTAGATAAAGCTTATAAGTAGGGATAAGAGATTATAATATTTTTTAATCTTAAATAGATATAAAAACTATATTATAGTTAACTTTATATAGAAACATTATAGCTAGTTAATTTATTTAGTTTTTTTACTTACTTATTCTAGCTATATTACTTAACTTCTTAACTTATTTATATTTAAGCTTCTTAAGTTAGTTTATTAATAAAAAATTAATAACTTTATAACTCTTATAAATATTATACCTCTAAGAAAATATAACTTCTTTATCTATTATACTTTTATTTAAGTTAATAAGTTATTTAATATTAATATTTAAGCTAGCTAATATATTATTAGCTTCTATTTTTTTAGCTATATAAAGGTTTTACTTAATTAATAATTACTCTTAAATATAGTAAAAAAGATTACTAAAAGCTTATTTATTAAAAAGAAAGTTTTTAAAAATAGGTTATATATATTTATAAAGTTAAGAGATCTATATAGTATTAAGTTAATATAGTTAATACTTTATATTACTCTTTAATCTTTTTAATAGTATAGTTAATAATTACTTTTTACTATAAAGAAAAACTTAGATCTTTAATATAATATTATTATTATAAAAAAGTATAAAATAGCTAAACTTTAAACTAAATTAGAGGTTTATATACTATATAAATAGAAACTAATTAAACTTAATCTTAATAAGTAGTTTACTAATATTTAAATTATTAAAGATACCTAAGTTATAAAGTTAATATTAACTTTTAAAAGTATAAAAATAGTAAGAATATAAGAAATTAAATTTAAATTATTCTAATATACTTTTTTACTAGTTAGATAGTAATAAAACTATATTTTACTAAAACTACGTTACTAGTACCTCTTTAGCTAAGCTGTTTGGTTATGGGGGGTGTTCGGTTATAGGGTGGGCTGACTTACTGCGTACCTCTCTCTAGGTATCCTCCCCCCTCCCCTCCCCCCCATTACCGCTACTTACTGCTTTCGGTCAACTTCCCTTCTACCCCCCAAAAGCAGGTTCTCTTCCTCTCTTCCATCCTCGACCTCCCCGTCCTTTCCCTCCCCTCCATTACACCTTATCCTTCGAAACACTCTTTGTAACACACCAGACAGAGACGGAGACGAGAGCTTCCAAAGCTCCAACACTTGTTAACTGAACTTCGCAGCTTCCTTTGCATCGCCAAATGCTAGAGCCTCACCAGATCCAGTTACAGTCAATTGGCCTCGCTTCGCGACACACTACGCACGCACTTATCGCACCTCACCCCGCTCAGTATCGATACCAGCCCTCGCGCGCATGGTGGGGTCAAGATGCCGCCCAGATCTTCTCTAACGTCTTCCTTCTCAATCACCGACTCCAACAATGAAGTCGTGTGTCCTCTGAGAAACCAAGATGGCTCCAGCTGCAGAAAGCGCTGCATCGGTGTAAGTCTGGCCCCATAGGAATGAATCCCTCCTCCAACGGCGCCGTCGACCGTTGCGCCCTGGATTCCACCCCCAACTGCGACGACAGTGCAGAGCTTTGATTACGCCCCCCAAAACCCACCCGACCGAGAGAAAAGAGAGAGCTCTTCTGACACAATCGGCGCACCACAGGAAAAACGATACCGATCCATGCAGGAGCACATTCGAAGAGCACATCCCGAACACTACATCTCCAAGCTTCCAGCGACCGAGGAGAGCTTCCTGCTCATGATCAACACCCCGCCGTCCGAACGCCCTCCCATCCAGCCAAATGCGACTTCAGTGCCTCAGGGTTCGTCCCTCTCAATCCAGGGCTTCCCCCCAAAGATTGACCATCTTCAAGGCTTCAACCATGACCGGCACATGTACGACAACAGCAATCCGGGCACGCCCCGAACGCTGGACGATCATGCTGTGGGCTCGCTGCTCCCTGCTGCTAGTGCCGCGGCGGCACTGGCGCAATTGCATGGTCACAAGGTCGAACCTGAGTGGGAGTCCGAAGTAGTAAGTCGAGAAATCTACCCACTGCCACTTACAAGCACCAACAGAGCGCTAAACGACCTTCTCCCATCAGGATTGGCATTCCGACACCGAGGGGCGGCGGATACCCAGGACATCAATTGAACTACCACCAATCCATCTATCCAATAGCGACATCACCAGCGAACCATTTCCAGCCATGAACTCGAGCAGGCCAAGGGATATTTTGCCATCGATTCTTGCAAATTCGCCCCCTGGACGCTCGTCAACCCTACCGCCAATTCAGCGCCCTCCTGGACCTACTCGACCCAGAAAACAGTCAGTCACCAAGAGAGGTAGAGAAGCACACCACAAGAAACAAAAATCTCGCGGATCCGCAGCGGACTGGTTACGACGCATCCAAAACGACGAACGGCTTAGACCAGGTAATAATGACCGTAAGGCGTTATCGGCTGAACCTTCTGCAGACTATGGAAAAAGATGGGAAGATCTCATCGATGCTGCCGACCAGGCTGCTTCTGCTGCTGGCGACATCGATGAGGATCGAACTCCTGTAAGATGTCTGATGTTTATTCATTCGACGCTAGCTGACCATCCCTCAGGTACCCCAATCACCAGTCTCTATCCACAGAGCTTCACTGCCCCCCTTCCAGCACCATAATTTCCAGGCGGCACACGCAGCACAAAGCTACCAAGCTTCGCCGCTCCAACAGGCCTTAACCCCACCATCCTACAACCAGGACACGATTGACCCATTCCCGTCGGTTGAAAGCGGTGAAAGCGGGGAGAACTTCCACATTGAGTCGAGAGGCCTATCGGACTCATCACCGAGTTATTCCTCGCAAAACACTCAGATCTACTGCGCAGCCTGTCAGAGCGTCTCACTGCTGAAGGACTCGTATGCCTGCACAGAATGCATTTGCGGCCTGTGCCAGGCTTGCGTCGATGTCCTGATGGCAGAGCAAGGAGCTCGGCGCAAGTGCCCTCGCTGCGCAACAATTGGCGGACGGTTTAAGCCGTTCCAGCTTGACATCCGGTGATATCGTGGCCCCGTCGGTGGCCAAGTCTACACCATCACATGAATTTGCACTTGGGGATCTACGTTCTGCATCTGATTTTACAACGGCGTCATGGGAAATAAGTGGCATGCATACACGGCATTGAGGCATGAGGATGAACCGCATTAATACCCCGGCGTTGCAAAGTCGCGAGAGCTTAGAAAGACCAGAGAGCTTTTGACGAGCCGGCTTCAAACATTCTTTACATTCTTATAGGGCCTAGCTACTTACGACAGTCACGTGGGTGTGGGTGTGGGTTGAAGGCGTCTGTTTATGATCTGGCATGATCTTTCACAAATTTCTTTTCCTTCTGGGTCTTATCAGGGATATCAAAATGGCTGCCTTATAGGTTCTTGGGTTGGCTTGCACGTCGGCATGACCTTTTCTTTTCTTTTTTCTTTTTTGTTATAGGGTTTGTTGTTTTCTCAGTTGGTACGGGAAATCTGACTTTCAAGTACTCTGATTTGGTTTATAGATGCCAATCACAAAATACAATCATTCCAGCTAATCATGTTTCATTGTCGTGTGGGTATCGTATAGTGTAGTATGTTTGGGCAATTTAGCTGTGCATCATCGCTTGCCCTCCTTCTCTTTTTTGAGGAGTAAGTCACGCATAGCAGCTCTGGAATTACGACTGCCGCCTAGCTTGGGGCCTTTGAGCACATCCTCATCCGCCTTCCGAGCACCTGCCCGAGCTGGCGGCGCGGCGGCCTTCTTTTTCTGCTGTCGCTGCACCATGGCATCCATGAACTCGCGCCGGAATTCCTCGGCGATGCGATCGTCTGCGTCGCCATCACCCTCATAATGAGGTTGTTGCGTAGCAGGCACATCATAGACATCGACTGGCGATTGTTAGCTTTTGCTGCTGCATACCTGGAAAAGACTCAACGAGGAACTACTCACGTTTGTTCTCGCGCAGGATCTCTTCCACGAGCTGATCACGCTTGACATCGTCGCTCCCGCGACGGTTCCTGGGTCGCCAGGGCTTGCCGTCTCGGCCAAGCCTCGGCTTCTTTGCCTTGCGCGGACCGCCTTCGGGCTCCTCGTCGGGTACAGACTCGCCCAACAGACGTCGGGCGGCCTTTTCGGTCATGGCCTGGTTGCGGGCGCGGACCTCGTCGCCTAGGTCGACCTCCATCAGCTTCCCTTGCATGATGGGATGTGCCTTTTTGTCGTTCCCCGCGACGGGTGCCGGAGCGGTGGAGGAAAGCGACGATGAGGTATGTGTTGTTGTCTCCGCGGAGGGGGAGGGGTTGCGGTTAGAGAGGTGGGATTCTATGTATTCCATCCTTGCTTGATCAGTCTCTGGCCAAAGGGGCTGGATGGACCGCAGCGGGTTGCTTGGTGGGAATACATACATGTGTTTGTTTACAATGGTGGTCGCCAGACCCGTCTGCGGGGCAAAGCGTTTTGCGATCAGGGGATCATCGTCAGGTTGTGATGCTGCGGGCACGAGAGCGCGGGATGATGAGAGGTCTGCTGCGGGCGAGTCTTCTGAAGGGCCGGACGTCGCGCGGGCCGAGAACCCGACGCCGTTGAGACGTTTGCGCGCGCGGTGGCGCAATGTTGACGGGATGGCCTCAGTCGCTTCCTTATCCGAGATATCGAGTTCCGTCCTTGAGGATGCCGTCTCGGTCGGCTGCAAAGTCGGGTCCGTTGTCGTCGGCTTCGATTCAGCGGCGGCGGCGTTTGCTGTTTCTTCGGGGGATGCGGCGCGTTGGCGCAAGCCGGCTTTGCGCTTCTTGCCTGCGCGGAAGAGGACTGTTGGAGGGTCGGCTGCTGAGGACTCCATGGGGGAGGCCATTTTCCAAACGATTCGAGGGAACCGGATGAGATCTTTGAATGTGAAATCTGAGAATGAAGCGAGCTTTGTTGTGATTGTTGATGCGTGGACGAGGCAGAGAGACAATGGCGGAGAGAAACGAGGCGCAAGAGGGTTCACAAATTCGCCGGGGGTGATTGGCTCCGGACTTTAGCCGCCCACTATCGATAACACATGGGGAATAGGCAGGCACAGGCAGGAATGCATGTCATCGGTACGTGATACAGACCCCACAGGAATGTCAAGCTTGAGAGAGCTCCGAGCTACTTTTGACCTACCGGTCTACAACCATTTCATTTGAAATTTTGTATGTCAAGACACACTCCAATATTTGAATAGAAGAGCATCATGGCTAAAAGAGTGAGTCGCCCGTCATTGTCAGGCTCAATCTTATTTTGACATTTCTCCTTCTCTTCAGATATATTTTCTTGCACACGGCGGCGTGGTACAAGGTACGTCTTGACCCCTCCCCTCCCCTTCCTCCACATGAGCTCCGAGCTATTATCGCGGTTCCTGGATAAGGAGGAAGCGAGCATCGTCGAAGCTCCATCGTCACTGACGTCACACGCAGGTGTCGGGTTTCGGTTCGTGATGAAAAATCCCCCAACATTTAACGTATTCCCAATTTTGGCGAAATCGACACCGATGACAAATAATGCTTGAATGGCGAGACTGACTGTGCATACATGAAAACAGGTATTTTACGCAGAAGCGTGCAAGCGAGTATGGATTGACGGGATGGTGTCGCAACACGGATAACAATAAGGTAAGTCGAAATTTGCATCAATATGCCGACGAGCACCAATCCTTCCTAGTAAACGGGAACATGATATTCAAGCTTGAAAAGACTAACCATGCTGCCCGTAGGTCGAGGGCGAGGCGCAAGGCGAAGAGGACGCGCTGAAGAAGCTCTTGAAGGACATTGACGACGGTCCAAGGTCGGCCAGGGTCGTCAAGCTTGACCACGAGGACCGTGACTTGGTCGACGGAGAAGAGGGCTTTCTGGTTCGGCGGTGAGGCGCTCATCCCTGAAAGCCGGTAACCCTCAGAAAACAGGCTGGACGAGGCATTCTCATAACATTCCTAGGAAAAAAACAGAAGTGACGAATATAGTTTTGCACGCAATCTTGAAATAAAAAAAAGTCACTAAGCCCGGCTATGCGATTCGCTCGAGATAGTGACTCAATTGTGCAAAAAACCGTCAGTCATAACTCAGTCTGATAGTTCGGATATGTTCGCTACATTCAGCATGAAAAAGCAAATCCAACGACCAACTAGATATCCACTGACACCTATCAATCAAAGCAAAGAAAGCTCAGAAGAGCTCCGCAGAGTTAAAATATTGGTCGTCAAGCTCCATTTCTATTGCTGGTATTTTCGCCCAAAAGTATAGATGCCTTATCCAACTAACGCTCTAAACGCCTCTGCCTCTACGCTTGATAACGGGCTTTCTCACGGCCCCATGCGTGACAATCTTCTTCCCGTTGGTCGACGTACTCGTTGCCTTCTTCTTCGTTGACCTCTCTGCTTCAGCTTCCAACCTCTGCTCCTCCCTCCTCTTGTCCTCGGCCATCTTTGCCTCGATTTCCATCTTGCGATTGAATTCAGTCTCCGTTATCCGCTTGTCCCGCACCGAGTACCCCTTTTCCTTGACTGAGTAGAATACACCGCCCAAATCAGCCAGCCAGTGGGGGTCGACCGCGGTGACGGTCGACACATACACCTTCGACGTCAGGATGAGCTCGTGGTAGATGATGTAGTCTGGTGGATGACCGGCGTACAGCGCCGAGGTTGGATGCAACTGAACGCCGAGGTTGGTGCGGAGGTTGATGTACTCGCCAGAGCCCTTGTACTTGGCCGCCTGATGATAGTAGCCGCTGCAGATGCACTTGCGGATGATGTCCCAATCCATACCGCAGCTGATCATTTCCATCTTTTGCATCTTCATAATGTCGAGGAGCTGGTCCCGAATCTCCTTGGCGCGACGGAGCGATTTGGGGTGAAGGAAGTGCTTGATACACCATCCGTCTGAGCATCCGTTCGACTTCCACGCCGAGTACACCTGCAAGTATGTCAAGTGATCAGACTCGTGAACCCAGAACTTTTCTCGCTGTGTGTCTGCTTCTTCTTGGCGTTCTTTCGGGCGGTAGAAGACATTGGGAACAGACAGCATGGATACGATAGTGATCATCTCCTCGCTGCAACCGTATTCCTCAGCAGTGATGAGAAGCTTTGAAAGGGAAGGATCCATTGGAAACGCGCTCATCTTGCGGCCCAGTGGAGTGAGCTCGCCCAGGTTATCCAACGCGCCAAGGGCCCAGAGGTCGAACATGGACGTCGTGATAGTATCCTGAGGCGGCGGATCCATGAAGTCAAAGTCTAGGAGATCCTTGACACCAAGCGACTTTAACATGAGCACGGTATTGCTCAGATTCGTACGCTGGATCTCGGGAATGGTTTGCAGGTAAAGCTCTTCTTTGAATGCCTTCTCTGTAAACAGGCGAAACGCTTTGCCGGGGCCTGTTCTGCCTGCACGACCTGATCTTTGCGATGCGTTTGCCTGCGAGATCGGGGTGATCTGAAGGGTGTCCATGCCCATCTTCGGGTTGTACACCTTCATCTTGCTGTAACCTGCATCAACCACATACTTGATACCATCGACAGTCAAACTCGTCTCGGCAATATTGGTAGCCACGATACACTTGCGCACCCCAGGCGCTGCTCTGTCAAAGATCTTGGCTTGCAGATCTGCAGGCATTTGACTGTAAATCGGCAAAATACTGAGCTTGGGAGGATCGTTGAGTGCGTCCAGTCGTCGTTGGATAAGCTCGCAGGTGACCTCGATATCTTCTTGACCTGTCATGAAAACGAGAATATCTCCTTGATCCATCGATACATGAATTGCAAGAACCTGCTGAACTGCCTGGTCGACGTAATCTTCAACCGGTGATCTGTGGAACATGACGTCGACTGGGAATGTTCTTCCAGGGATAATGAACTCTGGAGCTCCGCCGTAAAAGTCTGAGAAGCGTTTGGCATTCATCGTTGCAGAGGTGACGATGAGCTTCAGATCTCTCCGTCTCTGGAGGATCTTCTTGAATAGACCCATCAGGATGTCCGTGTTCAGAGCGCGTTCGTGGGCTTCGTCCATGATAACGCAGGAGTACCTGTCGAGATCAGGCTCGTTGAGTGACTCTCGAAGCAGAACACCGTCAGTCATGTACTTGATAACGGTGTCTTTACTAGTGCAATCTTCGAAACGAATCGCATAGCCCACGGTGCTGCCTAATTTGACCTCCATCTCTTCGGAGACACGTTTTGCAACACTCATCGCAGCGACACGTCTTGGCTGCGTGCAGCCGATCATGCCCGATTTGCCGAAGCCGTCTTCATGCAGGAATTGCGTCAACTGCGTCGTCTTGCCAGAACCCGTTTCGCCAACCACGATAATGACTTGGTTTTCTCGAATGACGCGCATCAAGTCTTCTCGAACAGCGAATGCGGGAAGATATTGCCTCTGCTCGCGCAACGTTTTGCTTCGGCTGAAGTCGCTGCTTCCGCCGTTCTCGTCCTTTTTCATGTGGTCGCTGAATTTGTTGCTGCTGCTGTTGCCGCCGTCATCACCCTTGCCGTCGCCGCCCTTCTTGGCGTCTTCCTCTGACGCAACTGGGAGAGCACTGTCGCCGTCGTCTTCCTTAACACCCATCAAGTTCCCCAACGCCGTGCCAGCCATGCTTGTCGCCTCCTGCGCTTGCCGCTGTCGTTCGCGCTGTTGCCGAGCCTCCTTGACCACCTTGCTTCCCTTGCGACTAAATACAGCCATGTCGCTCTGATAATCGCGCACTGCGGGCACAGGCTCCAGCTGCTTTGTGAAGATTGTCCTGCCATCGAGGAACGGCGGCCTCAGGTCGTGGACCAGAAGATGAACTCGTGTGGTTTCCTCATCATCGAAGTCAGCTCCCATATCTCTTCGCTGAGCAACTCCTGACACCAGCATCCGGTTCGTCTCCCAAGCGTCATTCTCCCTATTCCTCTGCTCCCTCCGAGCGTCGAATCTGCTCGTCATCTTCTCTGCCTTGATCTCCTCTTGCTTCTGCGCTTCCCATGCTGAATAGTCCGCGAACGGATTGTGTGTGTCGTCGCCGAACACATGACCGCCAAATTCATCGCCCATGTACCAGTCACGATCCAGTGCCTTCGAGTCTTCGTCGGTCGGCGGTGGTACGTCGTTCACGTCCCTGGAAGGAGTCGAAGCAGCGGCCGAGCGCGAGTCGCGAGGTGTTGAACGTCCTGAATCCTGGAACCTGCCTCCATCAAGCCTTCGGCGCTTGAAGCTTGGCGCCGCCGATCCATCTCTATTATCGTACATCTCGTCGTTGTCGGTGTCGTCGCGGGAGGGATAGAGGATGCGAAGACGAAGACGGCAAGGTTGGTAACCATGTCACGAAGTAAACAAAGCTCAGAGGTGGGTCTTGAATATGCAACTATCCAGCCCATACCCTTCTAAGCGGTAGCCGTCGGTATGTCTTCCCGACGTGCTTGAAGCTTGAACACATTACTCTGTGCTGGTCCCAAAAAAAAAAAAAAAAAAAAAAGGGGACAATGAATGATAAAAGCAATTCCAAGGTACTTCAGGTGCTATATAGCTAGCAAGTCATGAGCAGACCTGTCTTGTGCAGAGTTGCCAGACGATAGTTGAATCATTCGACAGAGTTCTTGCAGTATGTTTTGCAGTTCCGTATTGAGAGATAAGTCAAACTCAAGAACAAGCAATAGAAAGGGTAATGCTTTGGGGGATTAACATGATTACCATTGGAACGTGGACAGACTGCGTAGTTGGGATTTGTCTTGGTCTCAGGCATGCCATTATGTGAGGTTCAGATGCGATGTCATTTATCGATAACACGATAAGATAAACCCCACCAACGGCCGAATTTTTTTTTCCTGCGCTCGCAGTTGGGTCGCAGGCATTAACTTGCAGACCAGCCTCGACAGTTTTTTCTTCTTCCACAATTAGGTATCCCACCGACTTGCATTTGTACAGTCTCCGTTGCGCATTCTAATCGCGCACTAGATACCCGATTGTCGGACATTTCTCCAAGATGTCCATGATCACAACGTCTACCTGGGTGCCCCGAGGCTTCGCGGCACCCTTCCCCGCCAAATACACATTCGACGAGGCAGAGTTCGAGCGCATAGCAGAACTCGCCAAGTTGCAGCTGGACGATGCCGAGGAGGACCTTAAGGAAGCACAAGAGGAGGAGAACGCTGCAGCATCTGCGAAGGACGCTGCTCCGGCCGACAAGGAAACGTTGGTTCCCTCGCGCTCCAGGTCTCTGCATGAGGGGCTGTGCCGCTGACTTCGAGTTGTAGGATCGACATCAACGACGAGGACCTGAAGGAGTACAATCTTGAAAACTACGACGACACCGACGAGGATGACGACGAGGAGAAGGTCGGCCAGGGTGAGGGCATGGCCATGTTCGGCAACGTCAAGTCGCTTGCCTACTACGAATCCAACAAGGAGGACCCGTACATCACCCTGAACGATGGCGGCGACGACGATGACGAGGACCGTGAGGACCTCCAGATCCTCGCGACCGACAACCTGCTGCTCGCGGCCAAGGTCGAGGACGAGATGGCGCACCTCGAGGTCTACGTCTACGAGGACGCCGCCGACAACCTCTACGTTCACCACGACATCATGCTCCCCGCGATACCCCTCTGCGTCGAGTGGCTCGATATTCCCGTGCAAAAAGCTGGCGTCGACAAGGACTCAACCGCCAACTTTGTCGCCGTCGGAACCATGGACCCCGACATTGAGGTCTGGGATCTTGATACGGTGGACTGCATGTACCCCAACGCCATCCTGGGACAGGCCGGAGAGGGTTCCGAAGAGAAGAAGAAGAAAAAGAAGAAGAAGGCCAAGGCTAACGACGAGTACCACGTTGATGCCGTCCTCGCCCTCGCCGCCAACAGGAAGCACAGAAACCTCCTGGCGTCCGCCTCGGCTGACA